AATCGAGCTAACTCATTACATGTTGGTTAACTAAGAATATTATGAAGAGAATATGAAGATAAGAATATATTAAGAATATTATGAACGCACAAAAAAATGATTTTTCATTCCTATATGTACATGAAAATAGAGATGAAATGGAAAGAAGAAGAAATAAGTAAATATACGACATGCTTTTCTTTTTCAAAAAAGATAATTATTATATAACTATTAAACACTATTATATAAAAGAGAAAAAGTACTAAAAACTAGACGTACATACAAAAAAATACTATTTCGAAAGTAAAACAGATAGCTTACATTTCATATTGTATTTACGTATGTTACAGTATCATATTTTCAATGTTTTGCTTTACATTGCTAAAATCTTTGCGAATTTGCAATCGTAACACATAGTTGTCTTTACAGATTTATATAATAAACTCATCAGGACAACGGATAAAAAGATGTAGGTCATGTAACAGTTCGTCAACACGGGTTTTATAATAATCAAATATGTATAATAAGATCGCCATAATAAGATCCCAGAATTCGAAAAAGGAAATGTTTATATCTACCAGCTATCAAACGAATTTGTTTACAATTTTTTTACGAAAACCAAATATTTCATGAGATGTTTGGAAATTAGACAACAAAGCTCATGACTAGGCTCGGGAGACATTATCGGGCAAAGTGGAAAACTTAGACATAAATTTAATCCAATAACTGACACTCGAGCTGTTAATGTGCGTTCTCCAGTGAAAGAAAAAAATTAAATCATAACCCATATGTGAACAACCATAAGCACGTCTTGAATAAAATGCGTACAAATTGATAATCTGTTGTTGTTCATCGGTAAAATAAAGAAATAAAAGAGCAAACCATACAAAAAATGGATAGACAAAAGCGAAAAACACACGTCGACGTGGTTGGATGGACTTTACCCTGGCTCTCACCTCACGCTTCGTGTATGGATAATACTGCCGAACGAAAAAATATAGACGAAACTACCCGCCCTAGAGATCAAATCTTAGATAGGATTCATATAGAAATCTAGCAAGAATCTTATGCTACAGTCGATAGAAATGCATACTGTGCTTATAAGATTCTTACATAAGCAACTTATAAGATTCCAATAAAAAATTTATACGATTCTTATAGTCAAAAACAAAAACAAAAAAATGTCTTTTTTTGTTCCTTGGAGGATGAGGGCAAAATTTTGAACTTTGAAATTTTTGAAAATTTTTTATAATGCATTATAAGATTATAAGAATCTTATAAGAAAGTTATAAAACTAAAATCTTACCGAAATCTTACTCAGTTCTTATAAGATTCTTACAATGCGAATTATAAGAATCTTATAATCGCAGTATGCATTTCTCCCGACTGGAGCATATAAGATTTTCATAAGATTTCTATAAGATTCTTACTGATTTCCGTACTTTCGCTCGCCTAGGACAGACAGACTTAGAAATTCATACACTTTGAATTAGAGTTTATTATGGAGGTTCAAACCGCATCTTTTACTGATACTTCTTGAAGTGTGAACAAAGCAACTGTTGTATGAAAACTCATAGTTTTGTTAAAGTTTAAAAAATTAATTATGGGCTGTGGTTCCATAGAAAGCTTCTGTCGAATTCAAAAGTATATCGAAAACTACTTGTAAATGTTCTCTTTCTACTCTTGACGTTTAAAATTCTCTTGTATTTTAATAGCATACCATCTATCAATAGCAACACATATTGCACCAATGGCTGTTTCTGTCGGCACCTTTTTTGACAGCTTTCTATCTGCTGAAGGAATGTATTTCAGCCAATTATTAACTATTTCATGTTCTTTCGTAGCCAAACATAAAACTTCGGGCTGCGTAACATCTAATACTTCATTTTTAGCATAGTCATAACTATAACTGCGATAACCAAGACTCAAATATTTTTTATATGCAATGCGAAGCCCTCTAGACGCAGCAACTGCATTTTCAGAAGCCATCGGCATTGAAGCCATCCCAGTAAGAGCATCTTGCCAACTTAAACTGTTATGTCGAATTAAATCTAACATCATCGGATGAATAATTAAGCAAGCCAGATTCCGAGAAACTTCAACACCGAAAAGCAAGGCTGTGATATTTTCAATGAAGCTTCCAACGTCATTGACTGTTCTTGCATCTAACTCTTGTTGACTAGGCGAGTACTGAATCTCAGTTCCGCTGAATAAATCCCAAATCCAATCAGCTATCTGTTTGTCGGAAACTTTTAATGCTTTTTTAATTTCATTAATCGAACTCAAGACATCTTTGTAATTGCCCAAGTTAAACATCTGATCTTGCCTTGTGTTTGTCTCTTTCAAAAACTTCTGATGCTCAACAATCAAGCTCTTACTATTCTGAAACTTATAAATATTAATAATGGATCGACTATTGAATGAGTTTATGCTGTTTGGAATGTTATTACTATTTTTAAGCATTCGAATGTGCGACCGATTAATAAGTCGGATCCTTGCTAGGAAATCTATTGTACTCTGATTAGCCGCCGGTGTTAGTAGAAATGTATCGGGGAGAACCGTTCGAGCAATGTTTTCTGATGGGTGTTTTAAACTGAAGGCTATCTCGTTGCACAATAACCGCTTAAAAATCTCAGCATAATCTTGCCTTTTGAAAAGCGCTTTCAGCTTGTCCGTGTGAGTCTCTGCAAACGTTTCGATCGAGGGACTAGATTTATTGTCTATAAGTAGAGCGAATAATTGCTTGGCAAAATCGTTAGTTGCTGTATCGTGAGCAACTTTATACTCGATTTTTACCCGTTTGTTGTATAAAATCCGACTAGATGCTCTTACTACACCTCTATAACCGTTAATGCGCTTCAACTCATCAACAATTTTTTCGACAATGTCGGTTAAAACTATATCACAATCTTCTGCAATTTCACCTTCGTCTTTCGAAAATGTCGAGACTAATTTGTTAATAGCGTCTTCAAATCTCCCGATAACCGGAGGATATAAAAGATGATA